GGCGGCGGCGGCAGGCAGCGCCCTCCCGCCCCGCGCTGCCGCCGCTCTCCCGGGCCCGTCGCCGGCCGGTGGTTCCGCCAGAAACCCAAAACGGGCCCTGCGGGACCCCGGGGCGGCTCTGCACTCCTGCCGCGGGGCGCTCGGTGACGAGCGGCTCTTCCTTTGCTTTCTGCATTGGGGGTGGGTTTTCTTCTTCTTTTTCTTTTTTTCCTTTTTTTTTTTTTTGTCTCTCGGAGTTTACAGTGCCATTTTCCTAGCACATTTCGGTGACCTTCTTTTATTTTTTTGCCAGTGCTATAATTAACTGCATACAAAGAATGCGCCTCGTTTACACATGGCAGCCAGGAAAGACGCCTGAGCTTTGAAGACCGCTGCTATCGCCTTTTCGATCATGTTTCCCCACATATTACACCACGAATTCTCCATGTGTGGTAGTTTCAGAGTTATACGTTTTTGTCTCGAACATGTTATTTTGTTTGCCCGTGCATTTATGTATTTATGGATTGATTTATGTAAACGAAAGTAAAGATGAATCTTTGTTCACCTCCCCCCCTTCATCACACATGCCTGTGAATTATTCGGTATAATGCGCGTGCACGCGAATATGCATGTGTGCAAACATATATTAACACAACCAACGGGTAGGAATTAAATTATTGTTCAGTTTGACACTAAAAGTAATTTCCATGGAAGAACTGCGTTTCGTCGTTCGAGAGGTTTGGTTTTCTTTCTGCCGTTTTGAAATGAACGCACGCAATATTAGAAATAGGTAAACAAAGGGGGGGAAAAAAAAGAAAATATACAAGGTAAAATCTGTCAATCTGCTGAAGGTAAAATATTAAAAAGCGCTGGTGTGAGCTTGGTGACAATTCCTTACCAGAGGCTCTGCTGGAATCAACATAATCGAGTGTGTGGCAAGAATATTGTTTACGTGTTGTTAGTTATAGATCACCCCCCTCCATGGTTATTTTCGAAAATATGGAGGCTAACATGGTAGGATTCATCGCAGTAGAATATCCAATAAAATACATTTCAACAAATCAGTGGACTTTGTAAAACCTCTCAGTTTCGTGACCTTCGGGTCTTTTTTGAGTCTGTTGCCTTGGCCCAACGCTGACATATTGAAATTTATAGTCCAAGATTTTAAGACCTAGTTTGTCTGCATTTTTTGGCTTTTTTTCCCCCCTCTAACAAACACAAACATCAAAATAAGGTGGTTTCAAAGAAAAGCGCCATAGCATATCGTAAACTCATTAGGTCCAGACGTCTAGCCATCTCAATGGTTTTATTATACCACGGTTCTTCCTGTTTTAAAAGAATTATAGGTATCTTCTCGACAATGGATGGGAAGCAATGCAACACCTTTTCCTGGCACTGCATGCTTTTGCCTTTTTTTTTTTTTTTTTTTTTTCCAGAGGTAAAAAAACATTAAGTACCAGGTCTCTCAGCTCTCCCCTTAATCTTGAATTAACCGAACGGCTCGTAAATATTTACGGGTCCTTCATTTTAATGGTTGCTCTTTAAACAAAGCATTTTTTACAATGAACTTCATCTCAATTATCTTGATAAAGTCATGTGTGTTTATAAATGCAGAAGGCATGAGACGCTTTCCTAAATGAGCTCCCGCCAACAAAGCTGAACGTTTGGAAGCAGCCGTGTCCCCCCCTCCCCCCCGAGCTTCCCAACCTTCAGATTAAAGGGCGCAGAGGTTAGAAAGTGCCCCCCCCCCCAAAAAAAAAAAAAAAAACATTTTAACAGCAAGGGCAATCTTTTCCTTTCTTGCCCTCTGGAGGAGCGGCACGGAAATATTTCCTACGTTATCCCAAGAGATCGCTGGTGTTTCACAGACCGCTCGCCCGGGAGGCGTTCGGGAGGGGTAGGGCAGCAGGCGCACCTCTCCGCCGCTGACCTCCAAGAGCAAATGTCTGTCAGGCGCTGGGGGGTGGGGGGCAAGTGGTTTTCCTCCGGCCTTTGCGGCTGCCGGAGGTGCTGCTGTCCCGGCGGCGCGGCCGGGCTTTCTCGCGGGCCCGGCC